GATCATTATACAAGATTGTGTTTAATAGGGTGGATCATTTCACCACTTTTTGGCGTGTTAATGAATTTGTAGGACAATGACAGGTCTACATCTACACTCATCACAATCTACACATCATATAAATGTGAAATGTGAAATGAGAAAAGAGAAAAGAGGGATTCCATTTTAAATTTGATGCGTACAGAGCAATTTTTTAGGGGTAAATTTAGAAGATGCCAGTGCGGTCGGTCTGTTGAGCATGAAAGTAAAAATATGCTTTCATTTAAACGGGCCCAAACTGTTATTTGGCCCACTAATCGTGCACCCATCGCCAATGCAGTCAAATTCGGGATTTTGATCGTAAAATCGTAGGATTTTAGGATTTTACTTAGGGATTCCGATCTTGATTTTACTATAAAATCGGTGGACCTTAAAATCGTTTAAAATCGGGATTTTGATCGTAAGAGAACAAAATAGGTGGTTTGAGCCAATTTAAAATAAGTATAACTGTTTCAGCGGAAAGGGAAATGGAATCTTCTCATATATTTTTCTATTAGAAAAATATTCAAAAATAATAAAAATAACCAAATTAGGGTTCGGTTAATCTCTTTCCCTTCACCCCATTTAACTTATTGGTAAAACACCTGTCCTAATATTGGAAGTATGTAAGAACTAACATCATTATTAACTAATTAATTTGTTAATGAATATATTTGTACCAAGCCACTAACATTACTTATTTTATTGGAGTTCAATTATTTTTAGTTTTAAATCATACTTAGTAGACGATGTCGAAATATTACTTTGAGTTAAACAACCTAGACATAACATGAAAATAAGAGCCAAACCCATGAACTATATCCCTTCATCATGAATTATTTTGAGTTACACATTAAATAACAATTAAAATAGTGATTTTGGAACATTAATCTTGAGAATTATCTTATGGGAAAAAAATCTTCTGAATTATCATTTTAAATGCTATGTGTCTTTGTAATATTAATAATTTACCTTATTAATATTCTTATATGCTATGTTCTATATAGTACTTAAAATCCTACGATTTTACGATTCGATTATACGATTTTGATTTTACCCCAGTTTTCGATTTTAGGTAAAATCTCGATTTTAACTGCTTTGCCCATCGCAGCCTCTCCAAATCTTCCTATTCTACTCGCCGAGTCATCTCCTCCACTACAAAATATCTCCTCATGTACTCAAAGTTCTCACTGAAACCTAATATCTACAACTTAGGCGCAGAGGGAGCAACCGATGGATTGTAGCGACCCCCACTATTTTGATAGCTAATCAAGAAGAGCGCGTTTGTTTAGTTGTATGGTGATTCACTTAATTAACAATTTTTATTTCGTTGACAGCCTCCTCTCCGCAATTGTATTGTGTTCACGAAGATCTGAAGGCGCAAGTGCAACAGGTCCATGGGTAAACAATATGTATAAAGCGTTGGCCAAATTGAATTGAGTCATTCTACTTGGAATATGAAGATTTTTTGCTTAATTGCTTTGGTTCGTGATGCAACTATGTTATGTTTGAAGGTAGACCAACGCAAACAACAGCACAGCTCCAGGGCTATTCTGCACATTAGGTAGTTGGGGCATTAATTGATAATTATTTGGGATTATTCCTACAGGTACATAATTTGGAACGTGCCTTTATATTGCATTGATTAATAGTTGTTTGAGATTTTTCAAATGAGTGATTTGACATGTTAAACTCTCTTATTTTTGAAAATGGAGTCTTCGAAGTGGAATATGAAGATTTTGGATTAAGCTTGGTTTCGTAACGCCCTTATGGGTGTTTATTCTCTAAAATGCAGCTGTCTTTCAAAGTGCCCGTTGCAAATGGCAAGTCAGGATACAACGATGGTACCGGTACACGTTTATATCATTAGTAGGTAGCATATTGTGTCCATTCTACTATATCATTTAGCTAAATACTTAGTTGTTCTTTTCAACTAAAAATTATGCTTAAATGCTGTGATTGGCCTCAGAAATGTATGTCTTTGCATTAACTGTTAATGATTGTGAGTTTTGGTTTAATGGTGAAAAGTCCATTTATTTAGAAGTCTAAATTGGGAAAACCTATTGGACAATAGGAATGTCATACATTAGTGTCGTGGGAGGTTTGTTTGATGTCTCAGGGTGTTAGATTTTTAAGAAGGTTGTTTGTTGTGGCAGAGAGTCCCTAAAGCTAGCGAGGTATTCCTATGTGGGATTTTTCTTTGTTTGACTTTTTCTCGCCTTTTTTCTTTTCTCTTTTTCTATTTTTGGTTTTTGTGTGCTACCTTCAGTTGCTACGTCTTCATTTGTGATCCATCTATACTTTTCTTATTCAGTGCCTAAAAATCATATATACTCGATTGCATAGTAGTTACTAATAGATACATTTATACCAATAGAGAGATTTTAAGTTTTATCAGTTGTTAGTTTTAATATTTACTTACATTGGTTGTTTATGTAGTTTTCTTTGTAATATTTCTCATTATACAACTAATTACTATGGCTACGTAGTTGTATAAGTGGGGGTTGGACATGATAGTTCTTAGAAGCATCAATACTTGAAGGTTATTATAATGACCAAATTCTAAAGTTATGGTTTGCCTTCAACTTGCTTGGAGCATTTCAATTATGCATCAATTGTTCTCTCCGTGTAGTTAACTCTCAGACAAATCGAAAATCTTGCTGATATGTGCTTGATTGTAGTTAAATTTAGGGTTCTACTGCATTGTTGCTTTACTATTTTTTCGTAATTGAGTCTGCTTCAAAAAATTTAGTTTGATTTTAGAAAATTTTACTTCTGCAGTCCTGTCTTGCCACCAACGCGTTCAATAGATGGAGACGGGAGAGGCGAAGGCTATTTTTGTGTTGTTGTTGCTGGTTTAGGGATCGGTTTGTGAAGAAGAGGGAGAAGAGAGGGGGAAAGGGAAATGCAGGAGAGGGGGATAACTCTTTTCTCCGACAAAAATGGAGTGAAGAAAGGAATTATGATCAGTAAGAATATGGTTATCTTACATAACGGTCTCTATTCTGTTTGAATTGAGCTTGAGAGGCAGTGATAAGGACGAGCTGCAACCAATTCATAGTGAGAAGAGAGCTATGAACTGTGATCATGTCTTATTTCAAGTTAGAAGGTAGTTTCAGTATAAGGATTATTTAATTTGAGAAGTTGTTTCGTCCATGATTCTTGGTAGTTTCAGTGCCATTCTAGCCAATGTTTAGTCTGTAATTTTTGAGAATTGATGTGCGAGTAATGACTTTCACTTAGCTTCAACTATTATGTGTGTATTTATTGGCATGTGATAGAATTCTCTTTTCCTTTTCATTGAATTCATTTTCATACTCTAATTGTATTATTTGTACATAGGCAAATCATGCTCGAGATGGCAACTCGCTGATATGGCTGGTGCAAGGAATGAAGCCATCATTAGAATTCAGACCGACAACGGGGAGGGATGCCCAGGACTAATTCAATGATGATTGATGATGGTATAATAAAAACTGCAGTCTGCATCGGCACCAATTTCTAGGCCTAAGTAAAGGTATTCAACCCAGAACTCTGCTTAGCGCTAAAAATTGCCCTCACCCAACCTTGATCCTGTTTGACCCACTTCTGAAGAGTCAAGATATATGACTAATCCTCCCTGTTCGTATTTTCTTATTGACTCTTTCTGACCCTGTAGGTTGGGGCGCGTCGGGAAGAATTGGATTAGTGGGTCGGTCCTAATCAAGTGGAATCCCAATCCCTTCACTCTCACTTGCTTTCTCTCCCATTCCACAAGTGGGTAACATACAGTAATCCGGACAACGGACCGGGTAATAAGCTAGTTTGGTTTATATTTGGGATTATTTGAGGATTAGGGATACTTATTTTCAATTTAGAACTATATATATTTAATTATTTATGTGTTGGTTTATAGAAGACATTAAGGGGTCGTTTGGAAGTTAGGAGTTCTTTTGACATAAACTTGTCGAGAATGCATGCATTTAATTAAAACTTTAGAACCTCAAATGATTTGAATCAATCATTTTAGATTCTCTACAAAAAGGTGAGATTCTCTTGTTGTACTTTTCTAATTGCTTTTTTGCACTCTTATCCTCATTCTTTTTTTTATATTTTATATTTGTCCCTCTTTTAATGATTATATTAAGAGAATTTCAAGGTTAAATATGTCGTTTAGGTCATTAAAGTGAGAATCCTTATATTTTTCAAAAGTGAAAATCACAACTACCAAGCAACATATTATTACAATAATCTATTTCTTACAATCACTACACTTAGAATACTTACATTGCAAGAATACTGGTAGACTCCCAACTTCCAAATGACCCCTAAACATAATAACTTAGTTGTTTCTCAACCCTAATCCCTCTCAAACTTTTGCATTCTTCCTCAATTGACGATTGCCCTCTTCCCTTTCTTGATTGACGAGCCCTTCACTAATTTTCCCCTAAAATGTTTTTCTCCTCTACCTAAATTGTGTTCCTATCTTCCTCTAAATTGCCTCTTGTACTTAGGAATGACAATGGATAGACTCATTTGATAAGTTGACTCAATTATATTGTCATGACCCATATATGTGTCGAGTCACATTCAAATGGAACCACATGCATTCTTAATGATTTTGAGCTTGGGTTGAATTTCGATTAGGTCCAATTTCGGTAAAACTCATTTGGGTCGGACCCAAATGGACCTATCTGGATCCAGTTGATTGTACACAGAAAAAAGCAATTTAGACCATCTCGCTAACTTCCTTGAACACATTCACACCTTCAATGTTAGTGTTTTAATATTTTTGTTTGTTTCGAACAAAGAAAAGGCAAAAAAAAATTGCATTAGAATCGTGTGTTCATTTCTTTTGGATACTCAATGCTATGGATCTAGTTTAGATGCAAACTAAGAGGTTGATTTTGATAATACCTAAATTTTGAGTCCTTTTGTCATCACTAATTGTACTTCTTATTACTGAGATGCCTCTAAGAGGGTTTCATCAGTGGTCAAATTTCAACCCTATATGGAAGCACCCACTTATAAAACCAACTCTTATAATATGTCATATGCTCAGAGTTTTGAGCTCGATTGATGTGTCAAAGCACGATTTTCATCACTTATTTCCATTCTCGAATAGCAAAATAATTGGCAACAAAATAAACTCTTCTACACAGATTACATGATATTGATGATGTACATAAAGCATTTATGAAACTTGTGATAACAGAAACACATTGCCTTCGTGTTTAAACCAGCATCTATCTCATTGGCAAAGTTGAGAACATAAGATTTGAATTTGGGTAGGGTTGTCCTCCGGAAGAATGTATACGCCACTTTTTCCCGTAGACAAGCAAGTTAGATTCAACTGAGGTCCAAATTGGGATGACTGCAAAGAAAGAGAAATGTAGCATATTTATTCATATGAATAGTCATGAGTAACAATCAGGTGGTAATATATCGATACATTACTGACTAAAATCGGTCAGTATAACATTGGTCATCAATTTAATCATGTTGTATCGATCAATATAAGCTCTTTTAATACATACGTAGAATATTGGTTTAATTAGCAGAGTTAACGTTTTTTTAATCCGGTCACTGATATGATACAGTAAGACAGGTCATGAAAAAAACCTACATCAATGTCGTCCATACAGAATGAAGAACAAAATACTATTTTTACCTGACAATATACTGTTGGTGATTTGCAACTCCATAATGGGGTAGGTATACATGTCATATACTGGCACCAAGAACAATGCTCTTTCACATTAACCCCTTTAAAAAGCTCCAATAGTCCAATGGTAAATCTGCAAGAAGATCCAATGATTATGCATCTCAAACAAAAGCACTAAATTTCCTTAACTCATCTTATTCATGTATTAAAGCATAAAGAGTAAGAGCAATATCTTACCCGGTAATCAAAAGTGTCAAGGATATAACAAGGAGCATACACTGATATGCCTTGTACTTAGACTTAGCAGGAGGTGCAATGTAACCTGGAGGACAAGTCTTTTGACTAACCCACCCAAACTGCGGCCGAATCAAGAAAATAAAACCTAGCAGAAAGCCAGAGATGAAGCCTCCAATATGCGCAAAATTGTCCACATGTGGGAGCATCCCGACTGCTAAGTTTAGTAAGACGATGATGACAAGGCTCATAAATGCTGCAAACTGCATGCATGGCAAAATTTCATAGTGTTTAGCTGACAATCTAAATGTTGGAACTTGATGTACTAAAACAACAAACCCTAAGTAGCAATACGTACCTTGTTTGCATATATTGTCCAATTTGTGATTAACTCTGAGAGCATGGCACCAAGTAGTCCAAAAAGGGCACCAGAAGCACCAACTGAAATACCGAACTCAAGGAAAAGAGCTGACATCAAACTTCCACCAAAACCAGAGAGGAGGTAGACCAACCCTATTCGAACTGTAAAAGTACATAAGGAGGTGTTACATCCTCATTTAGGATTAAGAAACAAGAAACGAGTTTAGTTTCTTGGTGTAGATATTCCTATGTCTACAAAAACTACGTGGATAAATAAATATTTGTATGAGAAATTTTATTGTCTATGAAATTACTTAAGGTTCATTTACATGGTGTATTTGAATGAATGACTTGTTTGTAAAAAAAAAAACAAGCAATTTCGTTCCATAAATTTGCAAATGATGGAGGAACATTCATTTGAAGATGACTCGTTTGTTACCCCAAACTTTCCAAATATGTCAATAACTATTGTTCAAAATTTCAATATTGCTTTTAACTTTCTCTGGTTTTTTTTAATGAATAAGGTGTTTATTCTTTAGATTTATTATAAAGATGGAGCCCGAAATAGATAAAATTTTCTATGTACGTAAAAAAAATGGTGCATGCTATATGCACCCTTTCGAGCATTATATATATTTATAAAATATGTTTATCATTGCTTCATATAGTTACTTGTGGCAGAATGAGAATAAGGTATTGTCATTACACATAAAAAATAATTAAGGATGAATTAATTAATCAAGATATGATATAAGCACAAATAAACTATACGGATTTAAATATTAAGTGCAAATGGGTAATAAAATAAAAAGTACATGTTGTACATTGTACAGTTCATCATTCAAAACTCTTGAACAAACAAAAAATTAAAAAATATCCACTTTTAACAAATGACTTATCATTAAATTCACCATGCAAACGAATCGTAAAAAATCGAGAATGTGGGTCTTTTTTTTTTTTGGTAGTAGAATGTGGGTCTTTCAAAGCATATACGTATTTTCAATCTTGAGATTAAAATAAGAACCAGGTTCATGAATGGTTTAAAGCACGAACGTATGTGGGAATAAAAAGATGCATAGGCAAAAAAAAAAAAATTACCTTACAAAGAATTAAGTCATATCCTTTTAGATAATTTCTTAGAAACCTATCATGCAATGCATCACATTTGTAATAAACTAATTATGCTTTGAAAGTTATAGACATACTAAACCCAAATTCCTTCTCAAGACGAATGCCAATGAATAAGAGACTGATCATATTGGCAAGCAAATGGAACAACCCAGCATGCAACCAAATGCAAGAAATTAGACGCCATCCTTGATGCTCCTTCACCACTTTATCCACATCCATTGCACCCAATTTCAACAACCTGAAATAAATAAAAAATATATATGTAGGAACTCTGTAACATTATGTAAAAAACTTATCAATTTGCAAAACCTTTATCATAACATAGAAAACGTGATTCGAAATTCAAGAAAATAAATTAAAATTTTATTTGAAAAACAACGACATATAAATCTGTTTAGAATCGATAATCAAGCATGTCATTGATGTTCAAAAGGAACAACACATCAATAGGAAGACGTTATGTTAAACCCTAAAAGTCCTTGGGTATCCATAATCTTTTGTTAATGTTCGGAAGGAGAAAAAAAAAACAAATTCGTAAGCAATGTTATACGAAACAAGAAGAAATGATAGGGGACTAACGCTTCGGAGGAGGGCCCAAGAAGAGGATTTTCTTTTAATGGTTGGAAAGCGAATCTCCCTAGAAATCCAGCACCAATGCAGTTGGTGGACCTCTTTGGGCAATTGTTCACATACATCTCCATGATGAAAAGAACAACATTAGCCACCACGAATAGTGGAACCAACCACGGGAACCACTGTTTGAAGGGCTTAAAGTCGCCGCCGGTATCATGTTGATGGCGATGACGACGTTGTTGCTGATCCATGGTTGATGTGGTCGGGTCTTCTGGTCTTGAAGGATGAACATTGATCTCATAAGCATTGTTGTTTGCAGATTCTCTCCCCATTACAGCCAAACAAATGGGTTATGGCCTATGGGGGAGAAGATTCCTGTTATGCAAATGAATTTTTTGTTCGATTACTCATTCGATCGGCTTGACCTTGGAAGGATTATAAGTTAGAGACCAAGGTTAAATTAAAGATGGTATTGGTTTTTCTTCTAATTCTTTTGTTGTTTCATGGTTGTTGCTCTTCCCTTTCTCCTTTACGCGACCAACAAAGACCGATAGACTTCCCGGCTTAAATCTTGGTGAAAGAGCAGATTTTAAAATGAGGGTATAAGCCAACTGCAAAAAAAAAAAAACTTCTTTTACCAATTGGTTCGTTTTGCTATTGTCACATTGAGGGGATAAAAGAGCTTTGTATCTCTTCAACTTCCTCTGGTTTTCTTTTTTGTTTCTTATATTTTGTTATTTTCATCTTCTCCAATGTTCTAATGGGAAAGGACTTGCAGTAATTATAATTGTAATAAATTTTATTTATTTGTATATATTTTTAGGAATTCCATACCAGATTGCTATTGTCGTAGATGACTAAATACTGGTGAATGAATAACTTCGTTATGTAGTTGGATATTTACAAATAAACTAGAGAAATACCCGTGCTATGCCGCGGGTGATGGATGGTCGTGATTGAAATTCATATTGTGCATTAACGTTTGATTCTAATTATCAATTTACAGTTTTTTATTAACTCTAGCTTTCATCGAGATTTTGTCTATAATTTGTAATCGTCGTCATAATAAAAATCCATTCAATACCTTTATATTCCTGGCCGGTATACATACTAATGTGTGGACAACTTCTATACTATTATAAAATGTATCATTTTACTCCATTTGTTTCATATTAATAGTGGAGATTTCGACTCCCACTGTCTAGCGACTAATTTCTCTTTCCGTCACAAGAAAAAAAAAATCTACCCACATTAGATGACTTGACCTAAATTTGGGTAGGGGTGGCAGTCGGTCGGTTTCGGTTTAACCAAAAACCGAAAACTCGGTTATCGGTTAAACCGAGCCACCCCCTATAGCTTCCGATCACCGACCGAGAGGAAGGTCACGGTTAGCCGGCCAACCGACCGGTCGGTTTCGAATTTAGGATCGGTTAGCCGGCCAACCGAAAATCCTTCCTTTTCTAAAAAAAAAATTAATTAATTAAAAAAAATCTCCACCGGTCAATCCTTATCTTCTCTTCTCTCTCCTTCTGTCTTCGACCACATCGTGCAAAAAAGCAACCCTCTCTTCTGTCTTCGACCACCGCACTAGGGACTCCCCCAATCTCCATCGGACAATAAATCTCCACCGGGGAGAAGGTACAACAACCCTGTTCTGCTTTTAGTTTCTACCTCCGCCCCGCAAACCAGAAAATTGGTGTGCCTACCTCCTCCCCGCAAAGGCGCAAAGCCGCAAACCTTCCGACCCCTTCTGCTGCTCTGCTTTTAGTTTCTCTCTGCTGGTCTGCAATCGACCGGTCGTTGCATGCGCCTTATGGACGAGCCTCTGCCATGCGACGAGGGGCAGGGAGAAGGCGGAGGTGGAGTCGGCGGGGCGGCGAGGTGGAGGCGCCGACGATGGTGGAGGGGGAAGGGCTGGTCTCGGAGAGACTGTGACTGTTAGGCGAGAAGGGGGAAGGCGAGAAGGGGGACTGTCGAGTGATTTGGGAATTGGGAGGAGGAGGGCCGATTGCGAGGTGGAGGCGGCGACGATGGTGGAGGTCGGAGGTGGAAGGGCTGGTCTCTCGGAGAAGGGGGAAGGCGAGAAGGGGAATGTCGATTGTCGACTGATTTGGGAATTGGGGGAGGAGGCTGCGACTTGCGACTGCGAGGGTGGAGAATGGAGATGCTTAGGTTAGGGTTAGTGGGGGCGGCGTCGTTTAAGGGGAAAGGGCAGGGGTCGGTTAGCCGGTTAACCGCCGGTTTCCGACCCCGGTTAGTCGGCTAACCGGACCCCTGCTTCAACCCACCGCCAACCGACCGTCCTCTTCAGAAACGGTTTTTCGGTTAGCCGAAAACCGGTCGGTTCGGTTGAAACCGTCCGGTTAACTGCTAACCGGAAACCGTTCTGCCACCCCTAAATGTGGGCTACATCTAAAAGTTGATTGGATTTATTTACTTAGACACAAGGTGTGCATCATTTAAAATGACAACTTACTACATAATTAATTGAAAGCACATACCATTATTATATATAAAGAAGTGAGGTTACTGTTGCCTAATAGTAGCTCACTTCTTATATATATATATATATATACATATATGGTGCCTTCTATGGTACCCCGGGTGAAATTCGGGGTACCGCATACTTTGAGTATGAAAACACTATCTAGACCTCGAATTAGCAGGATTTTTTAGCATGATACTATACCCTAACCCTTAATGAGTGAACCCTAGGTCCTAATTATCTAAATCATAAACTATAAACCCTAAGATGGTGCATTATTTTTTTACCTATATTTGGACGAATCATAACCGTCGATTATTGTTTCTAATTAAATTGATCGTGGGGTATAAGATTTAGAGAATTAAGACCTAGATTTTGATCTTTAAGGGTAAGAGTATAGTATCATGTCTGAAACATCAGTCAATTCAAGTTCTGGATAGCGTTTTCTTTCTCAAGGTATGCGGTACCCCGGATTTCACTCTGGGTACCGTAGAACTCCCCATATATATATATATATATATTAAACCTCACTTCTTCTTACATTTTATATTTTGATATCCCAAATTTAATTAAATTATAACTTAGTCACTATAATGTACATTTTACATTTTGATACCCAAATTTAATTTTAATGTAAAATCATTGAACAATTATGTTTTGATATCTAAATTTTATGAGATTTTCATACCTATAATTTTTTAAATTTACATATTGGTCCAATGTTTAGATTTTACTTGAATTCATGAATCCAATCCACCAACCCTTTTGAACCAATCCATGAATCCAATCCACCATAACATAAAAGTATAAATTTAGTTTGTACCATACAATATGTTGTATCACTCGAAAATTCGACCATTTTATACTTGCTCATTAAGTGAACCATAAAATAAATTATAAAAGAGAGACGACTCTAAAATATTGCAAAAGTGAATTTATAAACTCATTTAGTACATTACGGGGTACTAAACAAACTTCTACTAACTACATGTAACAAAATATGCGACATCTACATAAGCAAGTGCCAATAAATTGCTACAGCGAAAGGGGTTGACTATTGTATTGACGGTCAACTAAAAGAATTGGTCAAACCTTTCCATTATCTACTTACTTTTCATTTTATTTTTCACTCACCTTCCATAAACCTTTCTTTATTTCTTTCTTTGCCTTCTTCATCCAACCCTAATTAGTATACTATTAATTTTATGCATTCCAATCACAAGTATGAACGAGTCCATGCACAACTGACCAACAGTCTAGAGAATTAATAATTGAACCATGAACCACTAACTTTTTCAGTTCAATGTCGAGTCCAATTAAAAGAAAATATATATGATTATTACTTATTACAAAGTCGTCATTTTCCACTATGGGATTTGAAAGCATGAAATTTTAAGCGAGTTCCACTTTATATTTCTTTTACTTCTCTCTAGAGTTTTTCTTTTTCACCTAGGCTAGAATTTTCAATAATTATACATGGAATGTCTAGCTAGGTATCTAGACATATTAGATAAATAGTTTTCATTTTCTATAAAAAAACTAAATAATTATCATCTTAAATATATCACTATAAAAGGAATTAAGCCTCAACTATGCAAATTACAGTTTAGTACCTAAACATAATAAATCGTTAGATTTATAACCTAAATTTATTTTTTTGGCATATAGTACTCAAAATATTGATGGGACATTACCTTTTAGTACCTATAATTTTTGTGTATTACATTTTGGTACCTAAACTTTTGAAGTTCTATAAATAGGTCTAATTTTTGTATGTGTAAATAAAATACACTCGAATAAATGGGTATTCATACCCAACTCATACACATTTAGATTATGTAAGTAAATATACATACCCTACGCAAACTCATCTACAAACTTTTAAACTCATATGTACGTCACTCATACCCTACCCATAATCAATGGGTCTACTTGGGTTTAAGAAAATATCATTCATTAGCCAAAAAAAACAAAATTTAAAAATTGGATGTTGGCCGCCATATTTCTCAGTCAATATTACCAAAACTACTAACAAAAAATTAATTTTAGACTAATAATACTAACAAAACACTATAATGAGCCACATAATACATGTCCATATGTCATCTACGCCTCGCGACAAGGCGCGACATCGCCACCTAGTTAAAAAAATAAATTGAAAGCCAACAAATTTTTCTTTTTGAGAGGAAACCTAATAGACCAACAAATTATTAGATCTAATTATAATGATATTTTACATTAAAAATTAAATTTGGGGTATCAAAATGTAAAATGTACATAATAGTGATTAATCTGTAATTTTTTAGTGAACAGTAAACTTGCTTCATGTTTATATATCTACACAATAAATAAAAGCCAAATGAGAAAACTTGAAGTCCCATTTCAAATTTTCTTCATCCAGAGTGAAAGTAGGAAAGACATTTTGGTCTTCACAATTACTTTTTTTTATTCATTAAAAAGACACTTACTAGGATTCGAACCATGACCACTTAAAAAAAAAAACAAAGATCATAACCAATCACACTAAGTACATTTGTTGTATTTTTTTAAATTAAAAATATATAATCGCAGAGAGGAAAAAACCCTTCCCCCATTTCAAATTCCCTGCTCCATGAGCATTTGTAGGAAGGGTAGAATAGTAAGTGTCAATTTTTTCTTTTTCCTCTATGGAACGGGCCAACTTACCGTACACATGCAATTTAAACGGGTCCAGGAGTGTCAATTTTTTTCTTTAAGTCCTTTTATTTCTCCGTGGTGGTAAAATATATATGAAAAGGCAAAAATAATACTCCTTTTTATTGCTAAAAAGAAAAAAAAATTTAACAATAAACTAATGCATGGATTCTAATGGGCTAATCGGAGTTGAATGGGCCTGACCTACAAGGGATTTGCACATCAAGTAAAACAAATGAACATCATGAGTTTGTCATTCTAAAACAAGCTATTTTCTCTAGCATAATATATATTATGCTATTATTTTATATCTTAGTGGCTAAAATATAATGTATTTAAAATTTATTCAATGGTTCAACCTCAACCAACCCAATTAGTGTAATTTTTATCATTTCAAATATATATTATGTAATAATTTGATATCATAATGATTAAAGTATAGTGTATATTATAGGGAATCGTTTGGTATTTGTTAGTAAAAAACTAAACAGAAAGATCTATTTGGTTATTTTTAACACTAAAACGATCCTAAACATTTTCAGTTTCCTTTCGAAATTCTATAATTTTATTCCCGAATCAGTGATGTGCAAATGGCGAA